TAGAAAATTGGTAGAAAAAGAAGATATAATAAAAAATTGGGCTCTCTATTTTAAAAAATTAAGTTGACCTTCAACTGACCTTGAAAATGCCCTCCAAATAACAAACTGATAATGCCATTTTCTTTCCCTTTCGAAATCATAGAACATGTTTTAGCTTTTTAAAATATCTTTCATAGTTTTCGAGATTTTTTACCTGTTATGTTTGAAATTTAGTACTCTGTATATATATATGGGATGTCCCATTTGACCAACTTGAGACATCGAAATAACTCGAAAACACAGAAGAAAAACAAAAATCGCTGAAACATGTGTCGGACGAATTCCGAGGACGAGTAAAATGGCATGATTCCTTTTTCATTTGGTGAACGTCTTCAAGGTGATTTTAAGGTCAACTTTATTATTTCAAATAAAAACCTATATTTTTTATGACAGAAACATATTCTACGTAAAAAAAAATAATTAACTTTTGTCCGAAAAATTTCTTTATTTGATCATTACTTTCGAGATATCGTACGAAGTAATTCCGATGTTTATTCGAAACGAATAAAATAAACGTATCACAATAAATACTCAAAATGATAGCCTTCCATTTCCAAACACTTGTTAATGCGATTAATAAAAAAATCGATAATAAAGTCTCTGGACGGATATCGCGACAGGCATTTCGGATTTGCTCTGTCATGTTTTCATGGTTGGTCGATCGTAATAACTTTTTCTTTAAGGTGGCCCCATAAATAAAAATCTAACGGTGTTAAATCAGGCGACCTCGCTGGCCAGTTAACTGGACCTCTCCAACCTATCTAGCGACTAGGATATTTCTGATTCATTATTTGACATGCATAACGCGAATAGTGAGCTGGGCATCCGTCCTGCTGAAACCACATATTTCTTCTATGTGCTAGGTTTACTTCTTCGAATAGTACGGGTAATTCTAACACATCGATCAATAAGTCCCGGAACTAACTACTAAAACAACATTTGTTTGCCAAAATTCTTCTTTATTCAACATAGTCTCCTTCAAGAGAGATACATTCATTCCAACGCTTTCCTAACATCCTTTCCTTACATCCAAGAAGTTTCCATATTTCACTCCATTCAACGTACCATTGATGAAAAACGGACCTATTATTTTATCGCCAATGATTCCACACCAAACATTGACAGACCATGGACGTTGATGTTCTACTTCGCGAAGCCATCTCAAATTTTGACCTAACCAATAATGCATATTATGCCGATTAACTTCTCCATTATTGGTAAAAGTAGATTCATCAGAAAATAGGACCGAAATAATCAAAACATCTCAGTGGCGTGATCACGCTTCTTTTGTTCAGTATAAACACGAGATATGGAACACTTGTAAACATGAGATTTTCATATGATTGCGATTTTCTGATGAATCTACTTTTACCAATAATGAAGAAGTTAATCGGCATAATATGCATTATTGGTCAGATCAAAATATTTGGAAATAAGCCATCATTTTGAGCATTTATTGTGATACGTTTATTTTATTCGTTTCGAATAAAAATCGGAATTATTTTGTACGATATTTCCAAAAGTAATGATCAAATAAAAAAATTTTTCGGACAAAATTTAATTATTTTTTTTATGTAGAATATGCTTCTGTCATAAAAAATATAGGTTTTCATTTGAAACAACAAAGTTGACCTTAAAATCACCTTGAGGACGTCCGTCAAATGAAAAAGGAATCATGCCATTTTACTCGTCCTCGGAATTCGTTCGACACGTGTTTCAGCGATTTTCGTTTTTCTTCTTTATTTTCGAGTTATTTCGATGTCTCAAGTTGTCTGAAATGGGATACCTTGTATATATTTTACGGGTGTGCAAAAGTTGCCATCATTTTAAGACAATATTTTTTTATTAATATTATTATAAATGACATAATATCTTTAATCAAAATATTTTCTGAAATTATCTATTACTTTTTGCCATTTTTTAGGCAAAAGATGGATATTATGATGAAAGAAATCTTTGCTCTTATAAGAAATGGAATTAATGATGAATTGTTGCACTTCCTCAACATCGCGAAATTGTGTAACAGAAAGACTATGCTGCATAGAACAAAATAAGTGAAAATAAATGAAAATCCGATGAGGCAATATCTGGAGAATATGCCGAGTGTGATAGGACTTCCCATTGCAATGCATTAAAGTTTCTAGAGACGTCAATGCAACATGAGGCCTGGCATTGTCGTGCAGAAGAATCACTTCGTCTTGCTTCGTCGCAAAATATGGTCGTTGCTCATTAACTCAATTAAGCTCAACTAACTCAATTATCGATTATGTACACAAGTTCTTGACAAGATTTTGAAATGTCCAACACTGTTCTGAACGGAGAACAGTAGATGTCTCGAATTGTCGCAAATAATTAATTTCGGAGAACCTATTCTCTGAAATGACAGTATATTGTGAGACGATATTTCGAAGTCCGTTACCTCTGTAACACTGCTATAGCTCAGCTGTCCTCGAGGTGTGCTGTAACCCACCACGTGGTACGTGTACGTTACGCGTTTATCGGTGCAAGCGTATTGCGTGCCACGGATCTTATTTAATTCGATCGCGTGAGCAACAACCTCCTTTCGTGACGCAATTCGTCCGCTATGATCATTCCGCGCCTAAGCCTGTGTACTCCATGTACGCGAAAGAGAGAGAAAGAGAGAGAGAGAGAGAGAGAGAGAGAGAGAGAAAGAGAGAGAGAGAGAGAGAGAGAGAGAGAGAGAGAGAGAGAGAGAGAGAGAGAGAGAGAGGGAGGAGGGAGGGAGGGAGGGAGGGAGGGAGGGAGGGAGGGAGGGAGGGGGAGGGAGGGAGGGAGAGAGAGAGAGAGAGAGAGAGAAAGAGAGAGAGAGAGAGAGAGGGGGAGAGAGAGAGAGAGAGAGAGAGAGAGAGAGAGAGAGAGAGAGAGAGAGAGAGAGAGAGAGAGAGAGAGAGAGAGAGAAGAGAGAGAGAGAGAGAGAGAGAGAGAGAGAGAGAGAGAGAGAGAGAGAGAGAGAGAGAGAGAGAGAGAGAGAGAGAGAGAGAGAGAGAGAGAGAGAGAGAGAGAGAGAGAGAGAGAGAGAGAGAGAGAGAGAGAGAGAGAGAGAGAGAGAGAGAGAGAGAGAGAGAACAGACGCACGTGTTCGTGAAAACCGCGGACGACGTTTGAAACGCGTTCATGCGAACGCCATATTTATTCAATTCTTCGCCAAACTCCTTTTTGTTTATCTGAGACGCGTGGCGAGATATAAATTGAACGATTCGTTACAACCGACACCGATCAAACGCATTAACCACATATGTAACGTGACGGTAATCGATAGCGCAATATATAATCTACATACAATCGCGGATACAAAAAAGTTGTCTGCTATTGTGCAAGTTTCAGAATTCTCCTATTGTGAGTAGTAGATGCATTCCGAAAATCATAAGAAATAGCGCACAGACTTTCTCTTCGCGATTGCATATATACGTCCTATATATGATGGAATATTCTTTGCTCCGAGAAGAAAAAAGGAAAAAAAGAAGAAAGACACGTGCGAGACATTCTTTTCTTCGTGTTTGCGACTATGTGTACAGACAGGCTGTTCAATGGGCGTGTACATGACCTACATATCTTGAATTGTCGGTCTCATTAGAATCAATCTATCGGATTCCGTTGCTACAGAATTTTAACTGAAGCGGCATGCGTGCAGTGCCGAGTAAGGACGACGCGTAAGACTGATAATCCCGGTCTCATCCTCTTTCTTTTTCTCTTTTTTCTTCCTTTGAATGATAAATTAAACGTCGTCTTTTAAGTTTTCATATGGGAATTTTCTTCTGTCACATGCATAAAATATGCCGATAAAAAGTAATGATATGTTCGTCGACGACAGAATAAAAGCTTTGGAACTTGAGTCTTGAATATTGTACCAAGAGTCAGAACTATAGACTCATAGACCGCGTTCAGAGAACGCAACGATTGAATGATCGACTTTTGAAAGAAGAATGTTATCGGTGGATCTAAAAGTATATACCAATCATAAATAATTTTTATCGACCGGTTGTATAACTATTATGTTTTCTGAACGCAACTATAGCCTGACAACATATATAAAATAAAAGCTCTTAATTATTCGAGACTACATCGTGAACGATTTATGTGCCGCATTGTTAAGATTAATCTTTGGATTAACGCCGATTTCTCATTACTCAATATTCCTGCATGGGTTCCTTGGATATATTGGAGCGGTTCATAACTGCTGTAGTTAGCTGTTATAGCTTCCTCGCCATTACCCTCACTATTATGCTCACGTAAACTTTTTTACGATAGTGACATGTCATATCCTTCGTATGCACTTGACGAACGTTCGCGATTATTTCTTTTAATGAATTTCGTACACTAAGCTTCAATAAAGCATTAATATTTGCCAAAGAAAAACACACTATATAATCTTTCTAACTATTTCCAACATATCTAGATGCGTTATGATATATAACAAGCCGTCGAAATAATAAATTATTCGAACAATCAACAGTTATATAATATATAAATATATTCAGAAATGATATATACAATTATAAAAACTAATAAATTTCGGCTAATTTTGGGGAAGTTATTTTTTTTTAGGATATTTGTTACATTGATAATATATATTGATAGAAATAATTCGTTACTGTTGCTGTTATTCGACAAATAACGATTTCTTATAATTTCTGTTATTTTTACTCATCAAGCACCGAAAATCTATTTTTACGATTAATTACCACCCCACCCCATGTATATGTATGTATATAGCGTGTGTGTGTGTGTGCGCGCGTATAAAATAATGTTAAAATTATTATATTTGTTACCGGTATTAACAAAAATAAAATAAGGTCGTTACTAAAAAACAAAATGTAATAGCAACGATATTACATTTTTTTATATACAAGTAACGTGTTACTTCTTAACCCAGGTTTCTACTTAATAAATGGTTAAGCCTTCATTGAAGCTCAGTATATATATACATATATATATACATATATATGTACAATCAGCCAGTGTGCGACTAGGCGCGTAAGATTGTATTAACATTTTTATAAAAGTCGTAAAATTGGACGTATCTTTGAACGTTTTTTCGTGACGGATAGTGAGAGAAAGGAAAGGAGAGCGAAGACGGCTGCACTTGGACGATATTTATGTACTATGCTAACAGCGGCTTCGACCGACTACTGCGGTCGACTATTCGTTGTACTTACCTAACGTAAACGCGGCAAGTGGAATTGTTCACACGCCGGTCACTAGCGAGACGCCGGCGGTCCTCGAAAAAGTCCTTGAGAGCGGTGACACCTAAGACGAAGATCACCGGGATCATAGCGACTTCTTTACCAAAGGCGTTTATAGCTGGTACCCAGTTGAGCAGCACGATGAATATAAAATATAGATTCGCCACGCGATGGAACTGCTCCAGCAGGTTGCGAGGTAGGAAACTTAGTGCCGTATACTTGGTTGTGCGTACTCTGAAAGCAAGCATACGAACGCGGAACGCGTGTGAGATGATTCTGTGATATACAATAAATATTGTATAGGTTGTTATCAAGACGGTATTTCAGCCCGAAAGGAAATGCTTCCACAAATAAATATAAAAAATGTCGAAGATGAAGAATAACATTTTTGGAGATTATACGTAACCTCACTTATACCTTCACGGTCTCACGGACTTTTCAGGTAGTATCTACTTTTCAAGTTGTTCTACACAGGGTGTTCCATTTTAATAGTGTACCTCGATTATCATTGCAAGGAGCGGTTGTAGAGAAAAATGTTTCAGACAAAAGTTGTAGGATTCAGAGAAGGTCACCTGATGGTGGCCTTCATCTTAACCTTGGGATCAAATTTGAAGGTCATTCGAAGGTCAACATAAAAATTTCAAAACGGGAACTCTATTTTTCAGTATATATTCTTGTAGCTCAGCTCGAGAGCTTTCCAAAACATTATAATTAAGTATTTTTTTATTCAGTATTTTCCGAGTTACAAGGCTTGAAACAGAACAGTACCGTCGACATTACCCAAGATGTGCCATATGGAGGTTGCTCGGTCAGATTTACACCTTTTTTGTCTTTTATGTGTGTGTGTGTGTGTGTGTGTGTGTGTGTGTGTGTATGTGTGTGTGTGCGCGCGCGCGCGTGCGTGTGTGTATATATGTGCATGTGTATGTGTGTGCGTGCGTGTGCATGTGTGTGCGTGTGCGTGCGTGCATGTGCGTGTGTGTGCGTGCGTACGTGTGCGTGCGTGTGTGTGCGCGCGCGCGCGCGTGTGCATGTGCGTGTGTGCGTGTGTGTGTGCATGTGCGTGTGTGTGTGTGTGTGTGTGTGTGTGTGTGTGTGTAACAAACTATGCTTCAACACTAGCTATGCTTCAAAGAGTTCACAACAATTTTTACGAAAGATTGCGTTTATGTATCCAAGGAGGGGGATGTGTTTTCCAACACCTTCAATAAAATATGTATTTTATCATTCTTAGGTATCCACACATACGCACACACAAGACAAAAAAGGTGTAAATCTGAACGAGCAACCTCCATATGGCATATCTTGGGTAATGCCGAAGTTCTGTTTCAAGCCTTGTAACTCGAAAAATACTGAATAAAATAATACTTAATAGTAGTGTTTTGGAAAACTCTCGTGCTGAGCTACAAGAATATATACTGAAAACTAGAGGTTTTCGTTTAAAATTTTTGTGTTAACCTTCGAATGACTTTCAAATTTGACCCCAAGGTCAAGATGAAGATGACCATCAAATAACCCCCTCTGAACTCGACAACTTTTGTCTGAAACATTTTTCTCTACAACCGCTCCCTGCAATGATAATTGAGATGCACTATTAAAATGAGACACTATATATACTTATTCACTAGAGTCTTTTACAAAATTACGATTTTACGCATATATGTACAAGGTCGAAAATTGTACAAGTAACTTCAATGATTTATAACGTTAAGGCATATATGATATCTAGTGTATTGGGTCGAGCCAATTCTGCCGCGTTAAGTTGCCATACGCTTACCTGTTGTCCATCCTACCGCTGTTAGGATGCTGACTCGCTGGCGTCTTTGGAGGAACTAAGTGATTCGGCACTATTGTCCTTAAACGAGGCTCTTCTAGCAATGGACCGAAACAATGGGCCCATATCCTCCTCCACCAAGGAGGCGCGACGCTACGTCTTATCGTGTATATAGATTCCGATCTGCGAACACAATTGCGGCAACATTTTAGCCGTTTGTTTTCCTTTCGCCTGTTCTTCATAAACTATATGTGATATATTTTTCAAAGAAATGAGAGAGAGAGAGGTGTTATTTTGATATCAAATATTAAATTTTCCGATCATTATTTATAAAATAATATTCCCTAAATTTCTTTAAGTTAAAATTTCAGTTGAAAATTAAAGTGACGACCAAGTCATTAAAATCGAATAATGTCACAATTTTTCAATTATATAGAATGAATTCTTCTACTACGGATCATCAAGTAACCATTTTCATTTGAAATTAAAGAATGAATCCATTGGCACTGGAGCAAATTCATTCTAACTGCTTAAAATATCTATTTGTATGCATTAAAAATTCAATCTAACAAGGAAACATATCCAACCGTCTTTCACCGATTTTGATGGGCATTGGATATCTTGTAGAGCATTTCGTTTAATCTTGTAGTTAATGTAATAGAAAATATGCGCAAGTAGTAATAAAGCATAGCGCAAATGAAGAGAAGTAACGCAACGTTACGTACAGTACCTACCTACTCGCATAACGCGGTGCCTATAACGCGAAACTATTAATCATGCAGTTTTGCTAAAAATTGAATCGAGGAACTATACTATTGTTATATATGGGTGGATTCGACATTCAACGCTCTTTAATTTTTGTGCTTACAAAAATTTAAAAATTTGCGAAGGTAACGGAGAAGGGAGAGGGGGAGGGGGTACAATATTGCATTTTGAAAATTTTTACTAGACTGATGGAAAGAGTATAAAATATTGTAAAACTTTTGTCTGAATTTTATGAGATATTAAATAACAACGAAAAAGTCCGTTTTCTTCAAGGGGTGGTTTCGACCCCTAAACCTCGAGATAAGCACATAAAAAGATACGTATCTAATGTTTTTTAATACTCTATAAAATATCCAATACCCATCAAAATCGGTGAGAGACGGTTGAATATGTTTCTTTGTAAGTCTGAACTAAACATTCACTCTTGTGTAATCCGAGTGACAATATTTTTATTATTGCTAAAAGTATTTTCCCTTGTTTCAAGTAAAACTTCATTTCAAAGAATGTAGAAAATAATATTTTATATCAAACAATCAGTGTTACATTTATCGATAATTATCGAAGAACATTAAATCAACATTCGAAGAACATAAAAAGAAAATTAAATCAAAATTTATTGTGTGAAAATGAGATAAAATATATTAAATAGAAATAGAAAATGTACATTATACAGAGTCTGCCAAAAGTTCCGTGACCGTTAATTATTTCAAAAAATGATTGGTTAAAACAATGTTTGAAACAAAAGTTGTAGGGCTTAAAAAAGCTATCAAGTATTGATAATTGTTTGATCTTGGAATGACCTTGAGAAACGCTATCAAGGTCGGCATAAAAATCTTAAATGGAAACTCCAACTTTTTATTACATCGTTTTTTTCCACCAATTAATTTGAACAACTTTTGTCTAAAACATTTCTTTATTTGCCTAATATTTTTTGAGATATTTAACTTATAACTTGATAACTTTTTTAATATTTAACTTACGATATCTCGCTAATTGTTTGTCGGAATAAAAAATGGTACTAGACTTTTTTATTCTTGATCTTAAGAATATATTGGTACAATATTTGATCTTAAGAATATATTGGTACAATAATGCTCTATTTTTTGTTAATTTATCGATCTTTCGAAATTTCAAAATCATCAAATTAACAAAAGTCAGGGCGCTATTGTAACAATATATTCTTGAAACCAAGTAGAATAAAAAAGTACCATTTTTTTATTCCGACAAACAGTTAGCAAGATATCGTAAGTTAAATATTAATTATTAAATATTATAAGTTAAATATTAAAAAAGTTACCAAGTTATTCTAAATATCTCCAAAAATATTAGGCAAATAAAAAAATGTTTCAGACAAAAGTTGTCCAAATTAATTGGTAGAAAAAGACGATGTAATAAAAAATTAGAGTTTCCATTTAAGATTTTTATGTCGACCTTGATAACGTTTCTCAAGGTCATTCCAAGGTCAAACAATTATTAATATCTGATAGTTTTTTTAAGCCCTACAACTTTTGTTTCTAACACTATTTTAAACAATCATTATGTTTTAAAATAATTAGCCGTTCCGGAACGTTTGGCAGACCCCGTATACAATGTCCCATTTTAATGTCCCACCCTAAATAACTCTTCAGTATTGAAGTTTCAAGGAAAATGACCTCAATAAAAATTGTAGGGATTTAAATGAGCTACCTTATGATGACCTTGACTTTGACCTTAACTTCTATTTTCAAGGCCATTTGAAGATCAACTTGCGTTTTTTAAACGGAAATATTAACTTTTTATTACACTGTTTTTTTCTACTAGTCAATTTGAACAACTTTTGTCTAAAACAGTTTTTTACTGTCTAATATTTTTTATTGTCAGTTTGAGGAAAGCCTGATAACTTTTTCAATATTTAATTTACGATATCTCGCTAATTGTTTGTCGGAAGAAAAAGTGGTACTAGACTTTCTTGCTTTATTTAGTCTCAAGAATATATTGTTACAATAGTGCCTTGATTTTTGTTAACTTACTGATTTTTGAAAATTTCAAAATCATCAAATTAACAAAAATCAGGCCGCTATTGTAACAATATATTCTTGAGACTAAATAAAGTAAGAAAGTGTAGCATTACTTTTTCTTCCGACAAATAGTTTGTGAGATATCGTAAGTTAAATATTGAAAAAGTTATCAAGTTTTCCTCAAATATCTCAAAAAATATTAGACAAATAAAAAACGTTTTAGACAAAAATTGTTCAAATTAACTAGTAGAAAAAAACAGTATAATAAAAAATAAGGATTTCCATTTAAAAAACGCAAGTTGACCTTCAAATGACTTTGAATATAGAGGTCAAGGTCAAAACCAAGGTCATAAAGTAGCTCACTTAAATCCCTACAACTTTTATTCAGATCATTTTTCTTGAAACTTCAACACTAAAGAGTTATTTGGGGTAGGACATTAAAATGGGACACCCTATATATTTATATACATTTCATGTGTGACATCAATTTGCCAGTGTATTTGCCTACTATAGTCACGTCGTTATCTTATTGCGCGATCGTTGTTACTGCGACGACACGATAAATCCTCTTTCGTATGTATATACCTGGACGCCTGACGTGAATGACCACGAAAAGAAGGCATCCTGCCGGCAGTGGCTGGCCTGCTGCCGTTCTCTCTGTGACCTGGTGGCAGGATGAAGTCCGTTCTGGAGCCAACGCGGTTGTGTCCCGTTACGGATTGGCCTTGCACGTCCACCACCTGACCCTGGCTGAAGGCTCTTTGATGACCCGGCTTCTTCAATGCCGATGGGCGACCCGCGGCCGTCGCGCTTCCGCTGTTCAATGTCGTCAATGGGCCTAGGAAAGATCCGTACGTTGTCTGCCATCCTGCCGTCGTGCAATCCGCCAAGACACCACCGTGGCTGGCCGATCTCGCATGCGTCTTCGGAAATGGTCGTCTCCTGGCAGGCGACGTCACCTCCTCCACTGCATCCTCGTCCTCGTCGCCATTGCCAGACCTTGTGAACGTGGTGGTTACTGTCACATTGTTGATCGTCATTGTGGTGCTCGTATTCGTGCTCGTCGAGGTCGAAGTGTCCGCCGTTCCATTGTAGAGAAAGGACGGCTGAAGCGGCATCATCGTCGTCGATGAGGACGACGAAGACGTTGCACACCTGGGGTGACCTGCACTCGGGAACACATAGAGGGACCCCTGTCTGCCGATCTCCTCGCTGGTTGCTTCCTGCGTGTCGTCCTCGGACATACTGGCACATCTACGTACGCGATGTAGAAAGATTTGCCGTATGATAAAAATTGAATTAATCAAAAGACAAGACAAGACAAGATAAAAGAATCAACATAAGTCGGCACACTAATAAGAATGAACTATAATAACATGTATTATAATAGCAACCCGTGTAGAAATCTTTCTATCTTTTTCCTATTTATTGTCGGATTCCGGTGAGATTTCATCAAAAAAAGAAAGCTAAAAGGATTCCGATCTGGTTTCTTAACATAGAACCTGGTTTTAGTTAATGTCTGGAAAAATGTAAGATTTTCTGGTCAGTTCCCAGTTAGAAATCCATACGTTTACGCACGATAATAAATGTCTGCGCGTACAGCTCGGATTCTAATTAATAATTCCAAAGTAATCCCTTGGTCCGTGCTGCCACTACTATGGTCTAAGAAATGTGGAAAAATTAGAAGATATTTATTGGATTCTGATCGGTAATTCCTAGGTCCGTGCTAGTGTCGTTTATAAATGCTGAGAAAAAATATGTTAGTTTCATAGCATTGGTTGAAAGCTACGAACCGAAAGTCAGAAATGTCAAAAATGGATAATGAAGAAAAAAAGAGAAAAGTTCGAGAACAAGAAAAAAATATATAGAGAAGTGCAAAAAGAAATAAATCAAGAGATTCAAGAAGCATATGCGAACTGTAAGTAAATTTATATATCATGATATGATATAAATATATTCCAATGAGCACTAACAAGGAGAACCCTCAGCTTTGTAGAAGGAAAATTATGTACAATATATAATTATATCTAGACAAATTTATATAATCATATTTTTTATTTTAAGTATAAAAAAAATAATCAATGCTAATATAATTGTAGACACATTCGTGAAGAATTTTTATTGATTGCAATTGTGCGCAAAGATAAATAAGAAGCACAACAAGGTTAGTTGTTTATTAGCTAATAAACAACTGATGTAACAAGATATTAAGTATTACTATATTAAGTTTCAATGATTATAAGATTATAAGATTGAATAATATCAAATATTTTACAGTATTTTTTGGTAAAGGAAGATTTTCTAAAGTTTACGTTCCAAAAATGATTTCATTTAATGATATTACAGTTTATTTCAGATTAATTTATTTACTACAGTTTATTATTATTCAGTTCAATTCATTTTTACTATAACACTATAATTTACTATAACTATAATGTTTATTATAATGTTATATTTCCTAAAGAAAAATATATGTCCAATATATATTGTAAAAACATTTTTTGATAATTATTAATTTTTTGTTAATTATTTGTTAATTTTGTTAATTATATTTTGTTAATTATTATATAAAAATAAAATTATTCCAAATAAATGAATATAAACAATATCTGTGTTCATAATTTTACAAAATTGGAATTCTAAATTGAAATATTTTGCATATAATTATTCTTTTTATGTGTTTTAATGCTGTACTGTTGACTAGTGCAATAAATTAAAGTGAAAAATAATGGGTATGTGAAGTTAGCACCTCATCTTTAGTTCTCGATAGTTCTCATTAAAGTTTTAGCTTCCTTTTGAAGAGTATAAGAGCTCTTTTATATTAATAAAAAGAGTTCCGGCGATTCACAGTATTAAAATAGCAATTGAAAAATGGGGTGCTAACTTCACACCCAACTTCAAGATCGAATAATTCTGAATAACTCATTCGATGTCTTTTGACGAGTACTAGAGTCCCTGATAGATAAAAAGATATTCTGATTTCTTTCCATAAATTAAAAATTTCGAAAAATTGAACGTCAAGCTCGAATAGTTCTGAATGGTCTATCCGATTTCTTTCGATGAGTTCTAGAGTTCCTGATATAAGAAAAAAATTAAATTCACAGAATTGTTTAAAAAATAATTACTAACAGTATTACCGTAACAGACCTTTGACGTCAAATAACTTTTTAATTACTGGTCGGATCGCTTTCGACCATTATAATTTCTTTTAGAACTCTTAGAATGCTATCCAAACTGTCCTCAGAACTCCTCAAAGAGAACTCTCAAAAGTAATTTCGCTCAGGACTTAGCCAAATTTTGCTCGTCGAATCTTTAAGGTGGAATAAGTTCTAAACGGTTGATTGGATCGCTTTTGACCGTTATAATTTCTTTTAGAACTCTTAGAATGCTATTCAAAACCGTCTTCAAAACTACTGAAAACTCTCAAAAAAAACTTCAATCAGGACTTGGCTAAATTTCGCTCGCCGGCGAGATTTTTTTAAATAATTCCAAGAGTTCTCATGACAGTTTTAGATAATATATTGAAAGTTCTAAAAAAAATTCTAATGATCGAAAGCGATTTAACCAACAACTTAAAACTTATTCCATCATAAAAATCCGGCGAACGAAAATGGCTGTCCTAAGCGAAATTTTTTTTTTGAGAGCTTTCAGGAGTTCTGAGGGCAGTTTTGAATAGCATTCTAAGAGTTCTAAAAGAAATTATAACGGTCGAAAGCGACCCGACCAACCGTTTCGAACTTATTTCATCTTAAAGACCCGGCGAGCGAAAATGGCTGTCCTAAGTGACATTTTTTTTTAGAGCTTTCAGGAGATCTGAAGGCACTTTTGGATAGCATTCTAAGAGTTCTAAAAGAAATTATAACGGTCGAACGCGATCCGACCAACCGTTTAGAACTTATTCCACCTTAAAGATCCGGCGAGCGAAAATGGCTGTCTTGAGTGAAATTTCTTTTAAGAGTTTTCATGAATTCTGAGGGCACTTTTGGATAGCATTCTAAGAGAAATTCTAATGATCGAAAGCGATTTAACCAACAACTTAAAACTTATTCCATCTTAAAGATCCGGCGAGCGAAAATGGCTAAGTCCTGAGTGAAATTTCTTTTGAGAGTTCTCAGGAGTTCTGAGGGCCTTTTGGATAGCATTCTAAGAGTTCTAAAAGAGTTCTAAAAGAAATTCTAATGATCGAAAGTGATTTAACCGACAACTTAAAACTTATTCCACCTTAAAGATCCGGCGAAATTTGGCTAAGTCCTGAGCGAAATTTTTTTTGAGAGTTCTCAGGAGTTCTGAGGGCCTTTTGGATAGCATTCTAAGAGTTCTAAAAGAAATTATAATGGTTGAAAGGGATCCGACCAGTAATTAAAAAGTTATTTGACGTCAAAGGTTACGGTAATATTATTAGTAATTATTTTTTAAACAATTCTGTGAATTTAATTTTTTTCTTATATCAGGAACTCTAGAACTCATCGAAAGAAATCGGATAGACCATTCAGAACTATTCGAGCTTGATGTTCAATTTTTCGAAATTTTTAATTTTGTGGAAAGAAATCAGAATATCTTTTTATCTATCAGGAACTCTAGTACTCGTCAAAAGACATCGAATGAGCTATTCAGAATTATTCGATCTTGAAGTTGGATGTGAAGTTAGCACCCCATTTTTCAATTGCTATTTTAATACTGTCAATTGCCGGAACTCTTTTTATTAATGTAAAAGAACTCTTATATTCTTCAAAAGGAAGCTAGAACTCTAATCAGAACTATCGAGAACTAAAGTTGGGGTGCTAAATTCATATACCCAGAAATAATACACGTTTCACTCTAACTTATTGCACTAGTTTAGCAATGCAGCAATAGAAAGACCCCAAATATCTACGAGGAATCTGGTTCGTAAGTCCGATTGGATCTCTGTCAGTTTTTCTGGTTGGAATCCTTATTAAAAATCGGACATTTCCCAACCGGATTCAAACGGGTTTTTCTGATCAGATTCCAGCGATAACTGAAGAAAACCGTCCGGATCCTTGCCAAAATTTCTACACGGAAATGTTGGATTTACTTTGAGTTGAATAAACCATATCATATAATAAAGAAATAATAAATTGCATGTGCTATTTCAAAAAGTCAATTTGTTCTAAAATAGATTTAAAGAAGAATATCAAGATATATATCCAAATAGTATTTATTAAAATACAAAAAGGAAATATAGAAATCATTTAAGATCATAATACGTACAATTATATTTAAATTTTTCTTTAATTAAAAAGTAATGGATAACATTATTAAAAACTAAACGGGTAAACAATTTGCTCCTTGATTTACAATACTTAATAAAATTAAGAAATGAAAAATACTTGAATAATTATAATTTATTATTAATTTTACACTAGCTTTATTAATACGAGATCTGCCAAAAGTATCCGACCTTTGCCTGTATCATGAGAAAGAGTTATTCCGGAGTGATATGAACAACGTTGTCTTCAAAGTTTCCTTCCGAAGCAATGACTTTCTGCTAACAGTGCACTCACTTGCAAAAGCAGTCCTGGAAGTCGTTTTTCTGATAACCAGCAGCTCCCTCGTCGCATTTCTCTTTATTGCCCTTCAACGAATGTTTTAATTCAGAAAATAACAAAAGTCACACGGAGCTATATGTGGACTGTACAGAGGTTGACGAAGTTGAATAATGCCGTGTTTAGTCAAAAACTCCTGAATCGGGTGAAATGAATGAGCAGATGCGTTTCATGCAGTCATTGTGAAATGCGACGCTCAGAGTTTTCGACACTCACACAATTGCGAACCGTTGCTGACTGAACAGCTGGGTCGTGCCGTTTGGTGGGGATACTCCTAAAGATCCATAAATACTGAATACTTGTTTTCCATAATAGGATGCCCAAGGACAAAGATATACACAGAGTTCGGATACTTTTGGGACAGAACTCATATGATTAATGATAGCTGTATGCTGGAATATCCAGGTGAAAATTGAAGAAGAACTGCACTTAATATCATCAGGACTTATCAAGCTTTGGATACTTAATGTATCTAAGTTGCATTAACCCCTTAATTGCCAATGGTAAAGATCTTTGTCATTCTGGACTTTTCATAGACTGCCAGGAAAAGGCATATTTTTGTCACAGAATATTTGAGAATATCAGCGCTCAGAAGTATTTTAGATGACAAAGAAATATGTTTTTATATGTTTCCGTGTATGCTAAGCACGATCCCCCATCACTGGTTTTGTAAAATTTTGCTTCTAGAAA